CAGTTTACTGACATGCTGGATCTTGCTGAGAATGTCATACCATATGGCTGTACAAATGCAAAAGCGATAGGATCTAATCTCCTCAGCCAAAGACTGGGCTTCAACTCTCACCACAGGGTCTGCAGTTTTTTCCCTCACCTCCAGAAGAGCCTCTCTGACTTGCCCAGCCTGATACCTTACTGCCTCAATGCTTTTTATCCTGCTTTCCCATCTGGTCTCAGCCCATGATTTCAGAGTGATTTTCACATATTTCAAGAGGACATCCCACCTATGGGTGGAGGCTGAGAAGAGCTTGAATAACTTTGTCAAATGCCCAAAGTAGCCAAGGGCATCTGGTGAGCTTTTTGCAGCATCAGCTACTACCAGATTTAAAGTGTGGGCACTACATGGGACATAAAAAGCTCTTGAGTTCAGCTGAAGCAACTTTGCCTGAACACCTTTATTTTTTCCCTTCATATTGGCGCCGTTGTCATAGGACTGGCCTCTGCAGTCCTCAAATGGGATATTAAGTTCCTCTAGCCTTTTTAGGATTAGAGATGACAAATGTTCTCCTGTTGACTGCTCTGCCACAAGAAAGCCCAAGAAATGCTCTTTTACTTGAGGAATGTCTTCTTGTGACACTATCCTGACTATGACAGAGAGCTGTTCCTTATGACTCAGATCAGGGGTGCAGTCTAAAATGATGGAGAAATATTTAGATATTTTGATCTCTGTCACAATGTGTTCTATTATTTTAGAACTGATGGAGTCTATCAGTTCATTTTGGATTGTTTTGCCAAGATAATGTACATGACTGCCAGCTCCACTTTCCACCCTACTGACATGCTGCTTCATCACTGGATCAAATTTGGCCATAAGCTCCACCTCTTTCAGGAAATTTCCATTGTCTGGTTTATTTAATGTGTCTGTAGAACCCCTAACAGCCATGTTTCTTTCAGCTAAGGACTGAATTATTGCCACCAAATGATGTAGAACGTCACGCCACCTTTTTCTCTCATCCTCAGCAAGTGCTATGCAGTTAAATTAATGTGGTGGGCTTATTCTTTTCTGAAGCCTAGTTTTAAGAATAGTGGAAGTTGCACTTTTTTTCTTCCTCCATTTCTGGCACCCCCTGGATGTACGGCGCCCTTAGTATTTGCCTATACTGCCTATGCCACGCCCTGACTCAGACGCTGGTTTGTCGTGACTCGACTTGGATTCTAGGTTTAATGACTCGACTACAACACTGGTGCAAGTCCTGTGAAAACAGCAATTTACAGTATAAGCTATGCAAGTGATATAAATATATTGTGTGAGTGCAGTTACACAGAAAACATCTTTTTAAATCTGACTACAGAGTGACATCTGGCCATTGACATCAGAGGTGTGCTAATGGTTTTACATGCACTTTAGATTTCTGCCTGTTAACAATGTTACCATAGTTCTTATACAGTTTTTACAAAGACATAATTAAATCACTCCTGAAGGTGTGGTTTGAAGTGGTCTTGACAGCACCTGTCTCACGGTGGATCACTATGAGCAGTGGAGCTTTGTAACTTTTTTTTAAATTCTAGTTTCCAAAATAATATCTGAAAAAATAAGTAACATTATATAACTGTGTAATAATAGTGTTTGTGTCATATGTGATGTAGAAGTGCAGTCCAGTGTTAGTCTGGCGACATGTTGTTTTGTACTCATGGTTTTGATTTTCAGACATCGTGTTTGATCTGAGGTACTCAAATAAATCCAAACTTGCTTTCTTAGCAGTTGTATTTGACTATGTCTTTATTTTTGAATGATGTCCTACTTTCCAAGGATGTGTTTGAATAGCTTACTAGCATACCTTCAGAAATACTTTATTTAGAGCGTACTGTTGCATAAGTATTTGCCAGCATGAAGTGTTGTAAAATGTTACTTTACTCTTGTAAAAGATCAAGGCACTGGGTCAACAATTAACTTTGGAATAATAAAAGTAAAGAGGAAGTGTTCATAGGGATTGCAGTAAGGGCACAGCATTCCCAGTAAATGGTTAAAAGAAATTGTGTTAGTACAATAAAAAAAAAATCAAAATGAGATAACTCAATGGTCGCCTCACAGCAAGAAGGTTCCAGGTTTGACCCTGGTCGGCCTGGGGCCTTTCTGTGAGGAGTTTGTATGTTCTCCCCGTGCCTGTGTGGGTTCTCTCTGGGTACTCCAGCTTCCTCCCACAGTCCAAAGAAATGCAGCTTAGGTTGACTGGTGACTCTAAATGACCTGTAGGAGTGAGTGTGAGTGGTGGTTTCTCTACATGTGGACCTCTCCTCTTGCCCAATGTCGTTGGGTTTGGCTCCAGCCCTCCCCGACCCTCTTCAGGAATAAGAAGTACAGATAATGGAAGGTTGGAGACAACCCCACTCTGATATGCTGCGTTTGGTCCCTGCATTGCGCATTCACAGTAAGTGTCTGATCCATACAGACAACATTTTTATCAAAGCCAGACAGTTAAATACAGTACACAATGTAGAAACATACAGTAAGGTGGGGTTGAGCATGATGACAAATAAGTGGTTCATGAGTTGCGATTATTTGGTCAAACTACTTTTTAAAAGGTGAAGAATGTATTCTCTGGCCTTTCAGTCACAGCTGTTGTTAAAAGGTAGTCAGGAATAAACATTAATGTTGAAACAGAAAGTTGTGAAACCCAAGGTGTCCTTTATCAACACTGACCTTGATTGATTGTAGAACCATAAACCATATTGACGCAGTGTTTTGCTTTTGTGCCAGTTTGGATTGATTTTCAAGCTTTTTGTTAGGCCGTGATTAATAAGTAACTCTTTTTGGTATCAAATAAATCAGTGCTGCCATTGTTCCATGTATATATTTTACAATGTTGTATTGCCCTGTGACAGCAGGAACAGGCCTATAAATTCTCACACTCTCACTCCCTGGCAGTTATGTTGGATTCCTGCACAGTCTCTCCAAGGTAAGTACAAAGAAGGGCAAAGTAGAAATTTCATACATGGCAGCATAATTAGAAAATATGATTTTAAGACCTCTCCTTTGTCTTTACAGCAGGTTTGTGCCCTAGATGTCCATTATGGAGATGCATAGGGGTTTGTCATTGCTCCTAATTTTGCACATTTTCACCGGGAGCACTTCAGGTAAAGCATCTAACATTGTTGCATCTTGGGTCAGAAATGGCACACATTTAATGTGTAATTGTAGTTCTCCTTTTGAAACAAATAACTAATCAAAATTTTAATTGATATTTTTGTGAATCTTTTTCTCCTTTTGTGTCAGGAGTAGGTGTGTTCCAGTTAACGACTAATAAATGTACCCCTGAATTTATTCTTCCCCGTATACAAATCATAACTGCCAGTGCTAAAGTTATCAGGATGGATTACATTTTCTTAAATATAAATTTGTTTGCTTTAAATTTTCTCAGTGATGTCCTTAATTTTCTCCAAAAGTAATTTTAAATTAAGATAACCATTATTAACTCTTTATTAAACGGATTTTTAATATTATTCTTACACTGACCTAAATATCAAAAGAATATACTGTAATACCTCCCAGGCACATGATTAATTAGGTCAAAGTGTTTATTTGTTAGGAAACGTGTTTCCTTGTACAATGAAGTTCTTTCTTACTTTGCCGTCCACATGAATGCCACATAATACAAATGAAATATAAAGTAGATGAGCAATAACAAATCTAAATAGGCAGTAACAGAAATCTAAGGCACTTGAAAGCAGCAAGTGCAAGAAGCACAATAAAAATACAAGGATGAGCAAGGCCATGCTGTAATTCAGTATGGCTGCTCTCATCTAAATGCAAAGTCTGTTAGTCTCTCCTCTTTCTGTCTTAATCAGAAATTGTCATCCAAATTTTCATAATCATAAATAAATCAATTATAAAAAAAAATATGCCAATGCCAGACTAAACAAAATTAGGTACAGTCAACATTTTACCCTATGAAACATTAATATCCCCACTTTTCTCTCAGCCGTACTCCTTTTTATTACTTGATATATGCAGTGGATTATATCACTTTATTTTATTTCTCATTGCATGTTAAACTCTACCACTGTATGAATGTAAGCCGACCCAGGTCAACATTTCAT